CTCTTCCTCTACTATGCTGTGAATGTAATCATCCCTCCCATTAGAGTGTGAGTTCCTCAAGGGCAGGGATTGATTTTCCCTATCTCTGTGTCCCCAGGGCTTGGCACAAAATAGATGTTTAATAAATGCTCGCTTGGTGAATGAGTGGAGAAATCAGCCAGCTCCTGTTTAGTTGGTTATATCTGAATGTCCATGATATGTAGGTCCATAAAACGACCAACTTCCCAAAGCCGCCATGTGCAGAATGGCAGACTCTCCATCCAGGAAGGCCAGTGCAAAGTCTATGAGGCATTTTATAGCTATGACAGGAAATAGCAATGTCAGCGGCGGTGTCATCTTTGGACACTAAGGACAGGGATTCAGTGCCATGAATGGTCAGTTAAATTGTAATTGGAGTGAACTGTTCTTCTGCAAACCATAATGTTCTTTTGCTGCAGCCAAATGGCATTCAAGAAGAGGAAAAAATTTTTTGAAATGTCAAAGAAATTATTTCCAATTTGGTGCTCACAACCAGAGACTCTAATGATCAGTGGAAATGAGAGGCAAACAAATTAGCACTAATGGAAAATGGCTTTTGGAAAAGAGGATTTAATTTATAGTCAACTGATCATGGCATACAGCATGCAGTAAAAGTCAGCTTCACCAGCTTGATCATAAGAACTGGAGCACACATGGAATGCCAGAGAAAAATATACGTATACCATCATGCTTATTGGAATCTCTCTGTAAGTGGCAGCCAATTAAAATAGTCATCATTTTACCTTGGAGAGAAAATGGTATGAAAAATCAAAGCACACGAAATTAAAATCCAGATTAGGAACCTCGATCCAAATTGGTTTGTCTGTGGCCTTCTAACCTTGGCAAGGTCTTCTGCAAGGACGACAAATCTACTTTGTCTTCAGCCCAGAGTGGACTCTTTGTTTTTAATTTCCTCTCCATCTTCAGAGGTGATTAATAAATCTGGACTCAGTCATAAATCATTTCTATAGCAGCCAAATGGTTCTTCTTCATGCAGGGAAACTAAAACCACACTATCTCAAAAACCTCAGCTCCCATGTTAAGCCAAAGGTCTTTAGTAACAAGCGAGGGGAGGTATTAAAAATCAAGAGGTCAACAGGTCTTGTTTCTAAATAAAATTTCCCAGGGAGCCTCCCCCCCACCCCCAGTCAAAATTCACATTTCTAAAAGCAAGAGGCCTCCAAGGCATGGGTTGCCAGCCTAGCTCACTGTCCCCAGATGGCCTCAGAGACAACAAGGCAGTCACTGTCTCCTGTTCCTGTGGATTCCACATGCAGAATGAGACAGAGGCCTTCTCCCATCCCCGACTCCTCACTCTCAGTTCACCATTCAGATATAGACAGATTAGATTAGATTATATAGAAATAGTCTCTCTTTAAACTTTTGACCCAGCCAAAGAGGGTGTCCCTACCTTTACTTCTACCTCAGGGACATACGCACACCAATTTGTCACTTCCTTCTTATGGACCCTCTTCTGTTCCCTGCTCATACCCTGTTCACAGACACTCCTCAGGGAAACTAAACTACGCATCACTTCCCTGCAGACTCCATCTGCCCCCATCTTTCCCTCAAATTTGCCCTTTTCCTCCATTTTCTCCCCAAAGACTTCCTTTCACCATTTCCTTTCTGTGAACCCTCTGTCTTTATTGTTGGCCCAGACTTGCCCTCAATCTCTACCCACAGATCCTACTCTTCCTCTCTCCAGGAAAATTCCACTCCCCAGACCTACCCTCATTCTATCCCCACAAAATGTAACTGTCTAGGTCAGCCACACTCTCCTTGCCCCTTCCTTGATTCATTGCCTATCTTTGTTCCCTTCCAATCCTCTTACTCTCCCCTTGAAAATTCTTGTTCCTTATTAACTAAGTCTCCACCCTTAGCTTCTCCACAGTCACCTGCTTAACTCCAGCCTGCCCAATGCTAGCTGGACCCCAGGGCTCCACTTCTACCTCCTGGTAGAAGCTGCTTGTACTCTTACACCCCCAGGATCTCAGGGTTGGGAGGGGGCTGGTGTCTCCTTTCCAAAGACCAACCCACTTCCTTAATCCCTCTCCCTTTTGTAAAAACGCTTGCTACTTCAAGGGTCATGCCGTTCAGCTGCCCCGACTTGTGCCCCTCTCCTCATGCTGCCATCTAGACTCCAGAACAACCTTCTTTACTCATCAAAGACTTCAGTACCTAGCTCACAAACATTATCTTCCTCTTTCCTTCTTCAAGTCTTGCCAGCATCTAGGAGGATTGCAGCAGCCATGTCTGCACCCTGCCTATCTCCTATACTCCACCTTACTCCCATGGTCACACCTGGGACCTTGTCATCATTGGGAAAACTACTCAAACTTCATTACGCCACTTTCTGATCACCACTCTCTCATTCAATGATTTCCAATATATGGGTTCTCTGACTTCATTGGGACCTCCAGTCCATAATGCTTTTTCACTCTCCTATCCAGTATAAGTTCTAAGGCCCTTCATTTCAACCATTCTTTTTTTTGTCATGATCCCCAACTTCCCAGTCTTTTGCCCTTCCATTGCATTTACCTGGTAAAATCAAACCTAGATCGATTCAGCTCGGCTATACCTCCTGAATGCGCCCGATCTCCTCTGATCTTGAAATTACCCCTCTGCACCCACTACTAGGGGGCTGGATGTTGTTGCTGGGGGGCAGGGATGCATACTGTACAACAAGCAGACTGCTGCTGCTACAAACAACCTCAACAGGGCCACGATAACTGCTCTAAAAATCCATATTGCTACCTTGGTCATCTCGCACCCATTCTCTACTGCTGCTGTTTCCATCTTTCTCTGCTCTTTCAACCTCATATGCCATCTCAAATCCCACTCTCACTGGCTGATATTATCTTCCTATTTGACAAAGACAGAAAGCATCAAACAAGAATTCCCTCAACTTCTCTTACCAGACCTACCAATGTACAAACCACAACACGATACTTGTGCTTCCCTTCTGCTACAATGCAAATGTTCCTTCGCCTTCTTAAGCGAATTTCTTCACCAGTACTTTTGATCCCCTATGTTATTCCTTTTTCAGGGGCACTACTCTCTTAGTTATCTTCTTTCCCCTATCATTTTATCTTTTTCCTCTTTTCTGGATCCATGCCAACAACATTTATCCCATTTGAATGAAAATCTGTGTCTCCTTCCTGCTATTGCCTAATCTATTTCTTCTAAGTAGCCAAACTTTTTTTTTTTTTTGAGTTGGAGTCTCAC